CCCCAGCGACACCTTCCAGTGGACTTCAATCTCTGAACTCGTAAAGTTTTTCTTTTAAGTTTTCGCTGCCATTTTCATGAATGAATGGACACTTCCTGATATCTGAGGCAGGAATCATAGCCTTATATGGTGTTTTTGGGGTGGTAATTATGCTAATGTGCACGAGCAGCTGGATATGAACAGGTGGAATTTACGCAGCTCATTTACACACTTTTCCTGAAGATAGAAGAGTTTGTTGAATCTGACGTGACATGTTTGTACGAACCCTTTGTACGAACAAAAGTAAGAGAAATTTAGGATAAGTACACCAACTTGTTCTTGCATGAGGCCCATTGCTACAATAACTAATAACACAGACTGTAGAGAAGAATTTGGTGATTCTTTAGATTATTTCAAGTCACTATCAGCAAGATGAAGAAGAGTCAGAGTTCAAATAAAATTGTTTTAATAAACAAAGACCAGAGAGTTCCTTTTCTTAATGAAATCCCCTTTGCTGTCACTTCCTGTTTCACTATGACTGAGCCAAATTCAAAGGAAAACCTGAGTTGTGACAAAATGTGTAAAATTATGTGTATTTTGTTGTTTCTTAAATATAAAGATGTTTTCTTCAACTTTATGTATTTGAAGGATTTGCATGTCACAGGCACTTTAATATGAACTGACTCCAAAAGCTAATTTGTTGTAGTTTCACACTGAATAAATACTTGGAGATTAAAGTCAGCTCAGTTCAACAAATATGCAGTGGTTGTGCACTAAACCAAAACGTTACTTTTGCTAACACTTAATATAAAAAAGACAGTGGAAGATAATGCTAAACAGCTAAACMAGTAAAATTTACAGRAACTAACACTAACAGCTAAATGCTAACCACTGCTGGGAGTGACACAAACCTGCTGACGTTGGCTTATTAGTTTAGCTGTTAGCAGACTTAAAGTTAACTGAATCTAATTTAGCAGAAGCTAATTGGTTTGCTAACAGTTTTAAAAGATAGTGRAAGAGCTAATATGCTAAATGAAAAAAATGTGTGCAGCTATCTGATTAATGGAACCACGCCCACCTCTGCAAAGAGCGGTCAACTCCAACGGTTGATGCTAAACTTTTAGGCAAAATTCTTTTGATCTACGAGTTGTAAAATACTTTTAGCTAGGATGACACCAACTTTCAGCACAAYATCTGTAAAACTGAATGAGTCATAACCATTTTTATTGTTTAAAAGATCAGTTATGTGCTGCGGTCATCTTAAACAGGGTCGACTTCTATGTTAATCAGTTGTAGATKTATATTCAATGTTTACTTTCCAATAAAATTCATTATCTGGTGGTTTATCTGGTATTTTGAGTCACCACTGTCAACTGATCCTAGAAACCACAACAATGTAAGGATGTGGCTCAATATCGGTAAAATGGACCGAGTTTGACCAAAAAGAGCTAACACTCCATCATTTCTTAACATAAAATGATTTCCGCAGCTCTGGTGCAAAATGTGGTGAGTGATTTGCATTCCTTCAAGAGACCTTTCTTTAAAAAAAAAACTGGAATGGACTTTGTTTGGTTGAGACATAAGTTCTGGCTAAGACAATAACATTTAAATTGTTTGTTTTGTACTTTGGAACCTAAGAAATCAGCAAATCAGCCGTAATGACCGACAGCTAAAATCTGGTCCAAGATTTTTATCTGAAAGAACAAAAAAATTGTCTTTTTTTTGCTGAGCTGAAAAGAACTGCGAGACACAACAATGTAGTTTAAAATAATACTTGTGGTAAGTGTGGTTTGAGATGGTTGCTCTTTTCAATATTCTCCATCTTGACTTTGTTTATTGATTTTACTAGAACATCATGTCGGTGTGTTAACGTCTCAAAACGCTACAAGAAGCAAGTCTAAATAAGGAGAATCACAGAGAAAGACACTGTGAGTTTACATTATGTCTTTTAATGATAAATCTGGCATAATCCCATACATCAGTGTATGGTTTTATATATACAGTATCATGTTTACAATAAAGACAAAACCTCTAAATGCATAACTGTTAACTAGGAGAAAAAGTGAGGCCAGCAATGAGTAAACACTTTTTTTCTTCCACACAGGCACATGAGGACAAGGACACACAAACACACACTGACTCGAACACTAACATCTTTCTGCACGACAGCACAGCTGGTGAGGAAAAACAAAACCAAAAAGAAAAAAAAAAAAAAAGGAAGAAAGATGTGTGCTTCCATCATGAAAGTGCTTCTGGAAGTGGAACGGCAAAGTGTAACGCTCCTTTCAAAACAAAGCCAGAAATAGACCCAACAGGCCTCTCTCGCTCCGCGGGGAAAGATAAACCAGCGCAGCAGCCGTTGTGGTGCAGATGAGAGGCGTGATAAGGTGAGCAGAAGATGTTTGAGACGAAGGTGAGGCTGTGTGTGAGAAACGTCTGAACCGAGGGAGGGGGGCAGGTGAGGGGGGTACTTAAAGTGGGAGAGAGAGGGAAAAAAGTGGCGTTTTGCCAGCAGAGGCCAACAGAGGAGACGGAGAGAGGGAGCCAGTAACTCTGTGTGACTGAGTGTGTGTCTGAGAGTACAAAATCTGATAAGAGGCTTTAAAAAACACCAAGGTAAAGACTGGGTGAAAGAGCACGGGGTCCAGAACCCGAAAAAGGCAGAAGACGGATTTATGAAAAATGACTTCAGACACACAAATATATGTGAAATAAAAATCAACGTATCAGAAAGTGCTATTCATCTACCAGAAGGTGCTGAGTAGAGAGAGCTCAGAAGTTTTATGTAAGATTCTGTGGAAGGGTTAGTAACAATTAATATCTTACCTGTTGCAGATAGCTTTTTAAAATACCTCAGCTAGGACAAAAGCTTTTACTTTGCTACCAGTTTTGAATTGCACAGCAAATGTGACAGGAATATGTCCAAACAGCAGTAGAAAAGCCACAGCTAGCTGCTGCTGCTCATGTTTGTGCTTGCAAATAACCATAGTACATAACTCCAAAATTGGAAATTAATTAGTATGTAAAGTTCATAAAACTGTAGTTTAATTTATAAAACTACTATAAAATTTTAGGATTGCAGCCTTGACTAGCCTTTAGCTCATCAATCTGGTCAGAATAAACTAAACCTAGTTGTATGAGAGTTATCTACAACAAGTAAGATATTAACTGTTTATAACATTTTTACAGAACCACACGTTAAAGGAGTAAAATGTTCACTGTTATTATGAAAAACTCCAACATTTATGGATGTAGTTTTCCAGAAATATGAAATAAATCTGTTAGGACACTTTGCTTTTTAGATGAATTTTAAAGTAATTGAAACTGTGACTGTTCCCTTTAGACAACGGTGATTAAAGAGACTTTCAAAGCGTTTTCTTCTTTTTCTAATGAAAAAGTAAGAAAACAAAAACAAACAAACAACAATCTGAACAGACGTTTTCTCAAAATATTTGTCTGAAAACAAATATTTTATATTTTCTGGACACAAAGTTTAACGGCGGGAGCCAAAATGTAAATACTGCATTACTGTTGTTGTAGTTTCTAATAATTCTTGTCCCAGTTGAAACTGACGGATTTTACCACTAAACTACAGTAAACCCAACATTTACCAGCCTCAGAGCTTCACTCATGTTATTTCAAGCCTTGAAACTCAAAACTGCGCTGGAAGGAATGTTTAGTAAAAAAACTAAAATAAAATAAAAAAATAAAAAAAGAAACACCTGGCCAACGTTTTCTCTCCACTTCAGATCCTGCCCACTATCTGATGAGAGTGAAAGTGTCACCTGGGCAGGAAAAAAACAAGGCAAAGCTTCTCATGAAGAACTTTAATATCCTCTAAAAAAAATACTTAAAAAGTGCACTTAAATTTCAGAACAAACTAAAAATAAATGTTACAAAACAGACTTGCAGGAGTTGCTCAACGAGCAGAAAGAGTTAAATCATCTCTCGTGGACGTTTACACTGATGTTAGGTGTTTCAGGTCTATTTTTACACCCGAATACAAAGAGAAACTTCAAAAATTGTTAGAGAAAATTACAATTTAATGTGGTCATAGCTGAGGGCCATCGCTACACAACTTTTGACAGTTAAACAGAAAATCCATTACTGACAAATAATCATATAAAGCTAATAACTGCAACGACGTTAGCAATTTTTCTTCATATTCAGAGGTCAGTAGTTCAGGTGTGTGAATATCCGAGGTATATTCTTTCCTCTGAGCTCAGTTTTGATGCTTCTGTGCAATAAAACTTTGGTCTACAACACCGAGAACCAACATCAAAAAGTTTCTGAACAAAATAAGCCTGAAACGTTTAGCTAAAAGATGCTGCATTTCTGTGAACGTGTCAGCTGGTTTGGCTCTCCATGTGACCTGATTTTGTTCAGTTCACATGGATTTTAATGGTTAAATGAGTTAAAACATCAGCAAAAAATAAAAAAGCTTATTTTGTAAACTAGAAAAATGCCTGATGGTCAAACCCAGTGGTGGGCATGGCTAACCAAAATGCTAGCTTCGCTAACTCATAATCTGCTAAGTAAATATTTTGCTAATGCTAAACGTAAAAAGAGATAGCGGAAGCTAACACTAAGAGCTAATCGCTAACAGATAAGATGACTGTCAGTCTTTGAAGGACTGGTGGGACTGACAAACCTGTTGATGTTAGCTTGTTAGTTAGCGGTTAGCAGACTTAATATAGCAGAAGCTAATTGGTCCTTTAACTTTTTTAAAAGTTAATGAAAAAGCTAATTCGCTAAATGAAAACTTAGTTTTGCTATTAGCTGATTAGCGGAACCATGCCCACCATTAGTCAAACTTTTAAAACAAGTGATACAAAAAAATATTGATCTCATTGCAGGCCACACAACTACTGTCAGTCTTAAAGGGAAATTTCACTCAGTTTGAATTTTGAAACGTATCACTCTTTGTTTATTTTGTTCTTTCCAGAAACAAGGATTTGTCCTGTTTCTTCACTGCAGGACATCAGGGTTGATGTACAGCTTTACTGCTCACACAACGAGATGGAAAAAAAAAAACGATGATACAGTCCAGAGTGTTTTATTTTCTCTGGGATCGGGGAACATTTTCCACAGCGTGGAATCCATCAGGCTGTCACAATAAAGAAGCTCAAGGAACAAAAATGTCTCTTGTAGCTTCAAAGTGAGCCCCTTTTCCTTTTTTATTTTTCCCTTGTAGTGACAGATTACAGACTTCATCTTTGAAGAGGAGCTCATAATTACTCCTTTCAAGTGATATTTCCCTTTAGGAGACTGTTCTCCCTGATTAAAAAAAAAAAAGGTGCGATAGTGAGTAATATTTGAATTGCAGTACAGTTTACTTCACTGGCAGTCGGTCAGTTTAGCTCAAAGCTGCTTTTATTGCAGAAACATTTCAGGTTTTATATGGATGTTTCTTGCATTTCTGCTGGGTTGAACTGTCGGAATGCTGCAGCGAGACGGTCCACGGGGAGAAGTGTTTTAAATTTAGAAAACCTTTTCTTCATTTTTTTTCTTTCTTTCTTTCTTTTTTTCTTCTGAAAGGCAATTCTGGTCCAGTTTGTTCTTCTCTGTTCTGAGTTTGGATCTGGGCTTCCTGCACTCAGCACATTAGCCGAGTTCTCTGCAGGTTTTGCAGGTTGTGTGTGTGTGTGCGTGTGAGAGAGAGAGCGATGGAGGAGGACTGTGGAGGAATGAGGGAGTGCGGGGTCAGGACGAGGGGACAGGCTTGTTCAGTCAGCCTGCAGATGAAGAATTGATCCGAGGGGAAATCTTTTGGCTMARAMAAAAAAAAAAAAAAAAAAGAAGAAGTCGTAGAAATCTGTTTGAGGAAGTTGAAAAGAAAATTCCTCCTTTGCTGCATTTTTCTTAAAAACTTGTGATTGCATTAACATACAGTCTGAGCAGATTTTTATCTTTTTCAGCAGCACCATTTTTTTTTTATTTTGGACCCTCTCTCTGAGGTGAATCGCTCCCATTTGTTGCACTTTTTTTGCACCCCCCCAACCTCGAGAGTTTTCCGTCTCCTTTTCTGCTCCTCACATTCCAGCCGTGTCTAAGTGYTTTGTCCTCCTCGGAGCTCCTTCTTTTGCATTTAAGGTTTCGGTCTTTTATTAGGTTTTCAGTTTTTGCTACATTCCAGAGTCGTGCGTGGCCTTTCAGGGTTTCTTTGGTCGCCCGTTGCGCGGCAGGTTCTCCACCGTGTTGCTGAGGCGGTACTTGACGATGATGCTGTGCACCGTGGAYTTGGGCATCCTCAGCTCCAGCCCGATGGCGCCCTCGGACTTGCCGTCCTTCCAGAGGTCCACCACCCGCTGCCGCTGCACCACATCGTGCTCCTTGGTCTTCTGGAAAACCCCGGCGGCGATCGGCCCCCCGGTGGCCCCAGCGTCGGCGGCTTCTGTGGGGGCAGACAAGCGGCAGACTGTAGTGGAGGCTCGGAGAGTGAAGAGGAGGGGTGTGCAGCACGATAATGTGACACTTTACTGGTTTCTCTCTTTTTAGTTTAGTCTCCCTCCTCTGCAGGGGAGGAGGGTCAGAGGTCAGAGATAGAGCTTAGTGGAGCTGGAGGGGGAAGGTGCTCTTCACTCCATCACTTTATTTTACATGCTCCTACAAGACGAAGCTCTGTCTAGAACGTGGAACTCCTTTAGAACAGGTGCATAACTTCCTGATGGTGGAAACAGATTTTCCAGATTTCAGATCCAGATATTGCTGATTTGCAGCCTTGTACAAGTTGGCACAAAATCATCTTTCACTGGAGCCTTTAGTACRACGGTGATTTGGAAAAAGTCATGTAAAATGTAGAAACAGATACAGCATATCAAATGCTTACACTAATAGTACAGTTTCTAAAATACAAGGTAATTTGGTGGCAACACATCTCAAAGAATTTGGCAAGGGGCAACAAATGGTTGTAAAGTGACACCAMTAAGAAACAATGTGAGGAATATTTTCCTTGTAATTAGTTTAATTATAGCAACAGGTCAGTGAGAGGATGTAGTATAAAAAGCTTTTATTTGTCTTTTTGTATTGTAAAACCCAGAGCAGGGTCAAACCCAGGTTCAGCAYGTTTGCATTAACCCTTATAGCCTGGCTCCACTCCGATTTCTGGGGTGGCGTCAAATCTGGGCRGGCCTACTGCTGCTCACTGATTGGTTCACTGGCCGAGGAGGTTACATCATAAAGATGAGATTATTTTATGTGAGTAGCAGTGGTGGGCACTAGTCCGCTAAAGCGTAAATGCGATAATTGCAAACCTAAMTTTCTCCTTTGCGCTTTAGGGGTTTTACTAATTTCATCAAATGATGTGCGGATTTGCACTTTCTAAATTTWGAATTGAGTAGCGCTAATCGCAAATAAKGTTTCACATTCAAACATCAATTTCGTCTAAAGTAAAGAGAAAGAGCCGTCTAGTCTTATTACGTTTTGTAGCCACATAATTCATTAAAACTTTGTCATCATTTTCTTGAACGATGAAGGGGAAAGACGTCTCCACTTAACACAACGAACCTTCACAACGAACCTTCACAGAGCTTTATACGGTACTCTGACTTCTGACTCTTCTCGGTGACGGTTTTCACTATAGAGACTGTAGTGTTCCCACAATTCTTTGCGTGGCAGGAAGCAAACAATTTCTTCACCGGGTGACAAACCACCTGCGGTTCTGATCTGCAGAACCACACTCAGCTGTGCATATTGTACCTCCTCTCCGAGGGACACCGCTGCAATAAATATTAAACAAATAMATAATAATAAAGAAAGAAACACGGAACAATTTAAGTTCATGCTCTTATTTTGAAAAGAATGGAGATCCTGTTCTGTGTCCTGTAGCCTTTCCAGAACGCATTGCTTCAGTTTTACAACAGTTTAAAATTACTTATATACCTGCATGTTTTCTTACTGAAGCTCTGCCATTAACATAAGAAAATGACCAAGAAGTAGCAGAACTAGCAATCGACAACTATTTTTTGTTTTACAACCATGATTTAAAAGTCTGTTTCTACGAATCACCTCCCCATTCTGCACCGATACGTGCCAATCTGTCAAAGAAAAYGATCTTACCACTAGATGGTAGTAAAATGCTGACTTTCCTCTTACCTGGATGTTGTCTGGTAAACAGAGATTATGTCGCGCTTTCATATTAGATCCGCTAAGTTTTTTTGAGCATATGTGCTTTTGAACTTGCGGACCTAAATAAATTGACCAGCGCTTTAGAATTTGCGTAACTAAAATTTATATTAGCGCTGCCCACCACAGGWGAACAGTTTGCAACAACTAACAATGTTTCCACAYGAGTTYAACTACACAACAGTAGCGAGCTACCAAAAACTACAAGCTAACATTAGCTACCGTTAGCTTACCGTTTTCTGTCGTCCTGCCCTCTGGGCTTGAGCGTCATACTGCTGGTTGGTCCAGTACGGTCTTTGGTGTAGTCCATTATTGTTGTGTCRCAAATAAAACTAAATAAGAKTCACAYGTTCTTAATATTATGATCCCYGCCCACATMGAGGCGGCTCTCTGTTCAATGCAAACACWGTCAGGGCCGGGGCAGAATWAGGCCAGGCTGACTATGGTCGGGTCGAGCCTTACAAAGAAAAAATACCATTAGAGAGACTGAGTCTGGGCAGAGATTCACCTGTCTGTACACATAATTTAACAACGATAATTTCCTTCACCAAAAAGCTTTGAATCTCCCACCGTCTACAGTTTCTAATATCATCAAAAGATTTCAAGAATCTGCAGAAATCTCTGAGCTCATTCAATGGGCCTTCAGGGGGCCACTGCAATAAAAGTAGGTCTGGTTCCATCACACATCCCTGAACGGCTTCAACACYTCCACAAATCATTGTAAGCATAGCTCAACATGCCACGCACAAATGATGGTTAAAGCTCTATCACACAAAAAGGAAGCTGTATATTAACACCCTCCAGACACTCTRCCGTCTTCTCTGTGGAAAATAGAAAAAGTGGAAAACTGTTGTTTGATCAGATGAACTGACTACAGTATGTTCTTTGTATGCAGCCTGTTATCTATGCACAGTTCAAAACCCCGCCTCTCTGATGGTATATGGGTGTATGCCAGTGCTCATATCTTACAGATTTAGAAAGGCACCATCGATGCAGAAAAGTATATACAGGTTTTAAAACATGTGCTCCCATCCAGACGATGTCTTATTTTTCAGGGAAGGCTTWGCATATTTCAGCAAGACAATACTAAACCAGAAACTATATCCATGGCTTCAGGAGACCGGGTGCTGAAGTGGTCTCACTGCAGTCCACACCCCTCACCAGTGGAATACATTTGACGCATCAAGAAATGAAAATTTCAGAGAAAAAAAAGCAAAAGAAATAAGCTGCTCTAATCAGTCAGTCTGTACTCCTGAGACATTAAACTCACAGTCTGAGGCTAAATTTGTGTGAATTCATTATTTTCTGTAACGAAAACTTTTCTTTGTCGCTCTGAAAAAGCATTTGTTCTCAGTTTGAACTGTTTAACAAAACTCAACGACAAATCAAAACTTAAAGCTTATTTCAGTCAACAAACAWTTGATTCAAACATCCTAAATGTTTTATTTCTGCTCCTTTTTTTTAGTTGCCTTAAGTGTCGTAAATAAAAATCTAGTTTTTGTTGATTTATTTGGAAGTAGTTTTTTTTTTTTTGATCAGAGGATATTTGAGGCCGGATGAAAACAGTCAAAGGGTCACTTGTGGSCCTCGGGCCGTGCGTTGCCTGTGTGCTCCTGCTCTTGTTACTTCATTACCCCTCATTATGTCTGAATCCAAAATGGTCAGGGACCAGATCAACCCCAATCAAGACCATGACTGCGGTCTCATTTTC